TTTTTAAGAACTTCATAACAAACACTCAATTTTCTCTTGGTGGATATGCTATATCCTCATCAATTTCGTATAACTCGTAATTCATTGAGTAATAGGAGATAATCTTTTTTTCCGTCATGGCAGGTCCTAAAACGCCTCCGTACTTTAGCCCAACGTACAAGAAGAATGGAGCAAACTACCCGTCTTCACCTCATTCAATACGAATCAATGTATATACATTGGCTATCGCGTTTACTGTCCTCTGTTCTATCGCGTATTTGATAGGCAGAGGATCCATTTCCACCTCCCCTGTTTCTAATGTTGCTACTTCCGTCCCCTGCATTCCTTTAAAAATCACTTCTTCAACCACTGGAGTTTCCAAAAATTCTTCGTCTGGCACACAAGTTGATGAGGAAGGTGAAGGCGCGGTATCTGATGATGTTAAAGTTTACCCGTCATGTGACTTTAAATATAGTGAGTATACACCTTGTGAAGATCCTCAACGATCGTTGAAATTCAAGAGGGATAGATTGATTTATAGGGAGAGGCATTGTCCTGACAAGACTCAGTTATTGAAATGTCGTGTGCCAGCGCCTTATGGTTATAAGAAGCCGTTTAAGTGGCCTAAGAGTAGGGATTTGGCGTGGTACGCCAATGTACCTCACAAGGAATTGACAGTGGAGAAGGCGGTTCAAAATTGGATTCGAAAAGAAGGAGATAAGTTTAGGTTCCCTGGTGGAGGGACTATGTTCCCTAATGGTGCCGATGCATACGTTGATGACATTGATAAGTTGATCAATCTTAAAGATGGATCCATTAGGACCGCCATTGACACGGGCTGTGGGGTAATTTTACCATCATTATCTATTATAGGATTTCATTTTAGATGTTTGGTCTAAAGAAATCGCGATGATCTTTGCAGGTGGCGAGTTGGGGAGCGTATCTTCTATCGCGAGATATTCTAGCAATGTCATTTGCACCTAGAGATACACATGAAGCACAAGTTCAATTTGCTCTTGAGCGAGGCGTTCCTGCATTGATTGGAGTGCTCGCGTCTAAGAGGCTTCCCTATCCATCTAGAGCTTTTGACATGGCTCATTGCTCTCGTTGCCTTATTCCTTGGGACCTATATGGTGCGTATAATTAAGTAAATGAAAATGTGTTATCTCTTAAATCCAAATTTTGTTTTTTATATGTTATGTTTGGATTGGTGTGTGGTGGATATATCAGATGGCGCGTACTTAATGGAAGTCGATAGAGTTTTGAGGCCCGGTGGATATTGGATACTCTCCGGTCCACCAATCCGTTGGAGGAAATATTTCAAAGGCTGGGAAAGAACCAGGGATGACCTTAACGGTGAGCAAACCCGAATTGAAGAGGTAGCTAAGAAACTCTGCTGGAAAAAGTTTGTCGAAAAAGATGACATTGCAATATGGCAAAAGCCATACAATCATTTCCAGTGCAAAGAACAAAAGAAGAAACTAATGTGTCCTGCCCAAGATTATGATAAAGCCTGGTTTGTGCTTTTCCAACTACTCAATGTTCTCGTCCCTCCGTTTCATTTTACTTGACGATGTTTGACTGGAGCATATGATGACATTGATCTTATTTCATGTTGTATACGTTATTTTTAGGTACACGGAGCTTGAAACGTGTATAACTCCCTTGCCCGAAGTGTCAAGTGATGAAGATGTGGCTGGAGGACAATTGGAAAAATGGCCTAAAAGATTGAATGCGATACCACCAAGGATCAGCAGTGGAACTGTGAAAGGGGTTACGGCTGGATCATTCGAAAAAGATTCACAGTTATGGCAGAAGAGAGTTTCTTATTACAAGAGTGTTGATGACAAACTTAATCAACCAGGGAGATATAGAAATCTATTAGACATGAATGCTAAGCTTGGTGGTTTTGCTGCTAGTTGGGTTGATGATCCTGTTTGGGTAATGAATATTGTTCCTGCTGAAGCAGAGGTCAATACACTTGGTGTCATTTATGAAAGAGGATTGATTGGAACATATCAAAGCTGGTAAATTTCTTAGGTTCTTCAATTAACCCCCCCCCCCCCCCCTCCCCCACGCTCATATTTAAGTAACTAAAAGTGTGCTCTGTGTCACGTGTCCTCAAACCTTAATGATTTTGTGGCGAACTCTTCGAACTTCTCATTCAGTGAGACCCTAGGTCTTGTTGTTTTCGTTTTCTAGGTCAGACATTAACCTTGTTAGGAAGTGGAGTTGGCTAGCCGATGGTATATCATTTATGTCACCGACCACATAGTCCACAATGTCTTTCACTGCATTGTATTTTTCGGGGATGAATTCCCGTTCTTGAGCGATCGCTTTCGCTCGTTGGCTGAATGCCTTGATGTGTGTGCCTAATTTGTTAGGGTGACACTCTACTTCTTTATACTCTTTGAAGGCGAGAAACTCATGTTCCTTCTCTTGTCTACTCTCTTGAGGATGTTCCAGAGGGGCCGGTTCCTCCTCTGGAAAAGGGAAATTTCAATTGATAGACGATAGTTTCGATGAGCGGTGATGTGGATGTGAAAATTCTGAACTTTGGATATACCCTTTGTTGCTACTCAGTACTCACTATATAGCTAAGGAGCACATCAAAAGCGGTTCTCAACGTCTAGAAGTTGGGGGATTGAATACCCCTATGTTCCAAGTGATAAGTTTTACTACCATTTAAACTATTAAATAAGATGGTCAGGTAATTCAAGAGTTAGAAGTTTTGATGGTCACTCAACTTTGGGTAATTGATCATCATAGTCCATCAACTTTATTTTATCTTTCAAAAGTCACTCAACTTTGACAAGTTAGCTTCCATAATCATCATTATTATCAAAAATATAATTTTCGGTACCTATTCAATGAAGTGACAACTGACAACTACAAACTTTTAGATGAAAATATTCCGTGGTCATGTATTTACCATGAATTTTGTTGCAGGTGTGAAGCTATGTCAACTTACCCAAGAACGTATGATCTTCTTCATGCTGATTCAATATTTACTATGTACAAAGAGAGGTAAATTCTATCATCATTTTAAATTCTATACTCTCTTCGTTCCTATTTATACGAAGATGTGCTATTTTGAGAGTCAAACACATTTTTTCAAATTTTCTTAAATATTTTGACTGTATATTGACTTATAGTACCTTTCAAATATAAAATAACCCATAAAGTTTTCATATAAGATATTTGAAAAATTAATACAAGACTTCATAATTATAATTGACAAATCGTACTCTAAACCCCTTCACAAAAATTAGAATAGAGGGAGTATCTTATTTCCCATGACGGCCTTGTTCTTTCACTTTTATTTCCCTTCACATATTTTTTCGGAAAATTTTAAAAAAATATATCGTCCAACATAAAATATTATATGTCAAATAGTCCAATACACCATATAATATTATGCAACATTATACCTAGAGGAAAACATTATACATAATATGTCAACTCTATAAAAAAATGTATAATAATATATAAAATACGCTTATACACAAACATAGGCCAAACTAGTCTATTTTTTATGAGACTACGTCAACACACATACTTTTGTGTAATATTTTCTAATATGTATTGAATTCCCTTACTGAAAATCCTGATTTCGCTATATGAGTGACCTTTTTTTATGATATACTTGTAAATTTTGTTATGTAGATGTGACATGGAAGACATACTACTAGAAATGGATAGAATATTAAGGCCAGAAGGAAGTATAATAATACGTGAGGATGTAGATATATTGGTTGAAGTAAAGAGGATTGTAGATGGGCTAAATTGGGAGAGTTTAATTGTGGATCATGAAGATGGCCCAATGGAAAGAGAAAAGCTTCTATTTGCAGTGAAGACATATTGGACTGCACCAGCAAACACCACCACAAGCCCAAGGATCTAATTTTGTAACGACGTCAATAACAACAACATATTCAGTATAATTCCACGACTGCGGTCTGAGAAGGATCTAATTTTGTGAAATTAACAATTTTGTTTTCTTTGTTTAAATTCCTCTAAACTAATGGTCTTGTTCATCTTTCTTTTTTTTTTTTTTTTTTTTTTTGGAGTAAAGTGTAAAATTGAAGGAATTTTGATGTAGGCATTTTACTCTTGTGACTAAATTTTGTATAGTAGTTTGTCAAAGCTTTTGTAAACAAATTCTATTTGTCTTGATATGACTAATGGATTTTATTTTATGTCTTGAAAGTGCCTTTCGAACTCTTTTTACTTATTTATTTGAAATTATTTCAATATAAAGTTCTTAGATCAAGAGTCAATCAATAAATTTTGCACTTCATTTTTTTTAATTATTATTATTAAGAATAACAGGTAATATATATCCACAAGTCCACTTATATATAATATATCAAGCAATGTCTCAAACAACTTATGTCATGTGAGAGCCACAAAATGAATTCCGGTTAAAGAAGGAAATTAATTTAACTCCCCATACGATGGTATAATATAGGAAAAATTACATGGTTAAACAAACATATACTAATTAACTAGACATTATAGCTATAGTTTTAGTTAATTACCACTCGCAACCAACATTCAGCGATAATTACGTGGATTGGGGTTTCGAGTTTGTATAATTCACACATTTGTATAATTCAGAATATGTATAATATAATTTGTATAACTATTTAAATGTTCAGATATTTGTGTTTGTATAAATTCGTTATTTTAAGTTTATACAAAAATAACTCAATTATACAAACATATCCGCAAATTATACAAAAAAAAGGCAGCTTAAACTCTAGCTACAACCCGTAAATATGCAAAATATAGCTATAGAGCATAATTAAGTTTATTATAGTGACTATTTGTGGAAATTCCATATAATATATTAGGGTTCAATTACAAAGTGTGGAAAAAAAATGCAAGAAAGCTGATTGTCAATATCTTCAATTAGGTCATTCACACAAAGGGTCTCATCTTATAAACACCTTTTTTTTTCAGCTCTATATATACTTCTCCCTTTTGGCACAACTAAAAGCAAGTCATCTACTTTCATTTTCTTTCGACAATCATTTATAAGTTATATAACAACTTACATTTATTCGAATATCGACCATGGCAGCTGTGAAGTCATCATCATTAGTTGTTTCATTGTTGTTGTTGAGCTTGCTTGTGATTGTGCTGCAAAGCCGGGTGATCGAATGTCAGCCACAGCAGTCATGCACCGCGTCACTTACAGGCTTGAACGTCTGCGCACCATTCTTGGTGCCAGGCTCACCCACTGCAAGCACAGAGTGTTGCAATGCAGTACAGTCAATTAATCATGACTGTATGTGCAACACTATGCGTATTGCAGCTCAAATTCCAGCTCAGTGCAACCTCCCTCCACTCTCTTGTTCCGGTTAGTATGAATAAATTTAAGGCCTCTTATTAAAATTTAATTTTAAGCTACTAAATTTGCTTGAAAGAGCAAATTTGATATATCTGATTCAAATTTATTACATTACGATTTACTCACTGGCTTTTATTTTTTGTTGCAGCAAATTGAGTTTGAGATCAGTGGCCAGCAAGTTTACATATGCTACATGAGCAAATTAAATAATATCGTAACAATAAATTAACGTTGTCTCTTCTATCTTTTTTTTTTTTTGGTTGTACTATCATATGATTATCAATAAACAAATTATGTGATTTGGTTAATTTCCTATTAATTATTTCAAGCTCAAATATTAAGTACGATGGGTTTCTGACTGACTAATATTGGAAGATTGACACACTACCGTTAAACATATGCTAACAATGAATATAACTTAAACTCATTTTTTAAAAGAGGCAGTTCGAATCCACCAATAAAAACTCCCCAAAAAAATTGTACGCGTTGGACTACTTTTGCTATATGCTTTACGAAATTGAAAGAGGATTTTTTTTTTGCCATATGTAGGTTTCAATTTATCTGATACATTTGGAATCTTGAGCGTTAATCAAATTTTCGTTATATGTCTTTTAAATATTTTAAGTTGTTAATTATAGTAATTTTTCATGTAGTTTTCAAATATATAAATTTTATTTTTAAAAATTTAAAGTTTTTATATGAAAATTCAGTATCAAAATTTAAAAAATTTGAATCTAGAAATTTTAATTATGTCATATAAATTAGGGACACTGAAAATAATATTTTACAACAAGTAATAGATGAGAGAAGCTACTTATACGCATATATATAGTAGGACCCTAAGAGAGTTTGACATTGCTTACGAAAAATCTGCGTACATTACTGATATTACACGGTGTCACTTTGCATAGTGCAGATACACCTTATTCAATTTGCATAATTTTATTTTTTATTTGTTGATGTCGATGAAGTTGGACGTAGGTTCATCTTCTTCTAGCAGCAGTTTCTCTTTGGGCATTAAAGTAAACAGCAGCAACAGGGGAACCCAATCCATTTTCTGCTGCAAATTTTCGAGTGTTGAAATGATCTCTTGTTACTGGTGGTTTCACTGTTTGTCTTCCTCTGTTTTGCTTATATAATACGAACACGTATCGATGAATTCCGATCACTGGTTTTGGACTATCGTAGCTCACTATCTCTTTTCCTATAAAAAAATTGATGTATTACTACGTGTCAGATCATTTGTTGAAGATATAATTAAGTACATAAAATGATAACGAATGAGTCAAGTTGATTTGCTTACCAAAAGAAGCATCAGTTGAACCAGGAATATCAGTCACAATCCTGAAAAAGCAAAACCCAAATTTAAAGTCCATGCAAATATGACTAGCCTTTGTGAGAAGTAGTGGAAACACTATAAAATTTGGCGTAAATTGTTAGTTTCATCTCCGAACTATCAACTTGATTAACTGAACTAAAATATACTCCCATTCTTACAACATGAGTGGAGTACACCCCTAAATTCACGTCAAGTTTAGGGATGTTTTCAACACTTTCTCTTGGTTTTTTATTAAGAGTTTCATGCTCCTACAAGAATTTGAGACCACTTGTTGTGTCATGTGGCAGATCGATGGTGTATTTAAGTACAGTTAATCAAGTAAAAAGACGTTTTCAAGACTTTCAATAGTTTGAAAATGAAACTGATAGTTCACGCCAAATTTAAGAGTGTTATCAATACTTCTGTCAAGCGTTTTAATGCTTTTTTATCAACAATTAATATACTTACCAGTGGAGGTGTTCCCTTAAGTAAGGATCGCTAGGACCTGGAACATCTGGGTCAGTCATGATCTTTTTCAAACAAAAGAAAGAAAACAACACAGTTAAAAATTTACAATTTAGAGGATGGACAAAAAAGAAGATAATTTGAAAATGAGACCAGAGTTGCAATTCTTCTCCTATCAATATATATGATTAAAAAAAATATTTCAAAATGTTAATCAAAATTTATATATTCCTTATGTTCCAATTTAATTGTCTTACTTTTCTTTTTAATCTGTCTAAGAAAGAGTGTCTCATTCTCTATTTTAAATAAGTTCTTTAAATTTCAACATCGTCATACATGAAAAATTTAATTAAGACCACTAGATGTGTTCAGTCAAACTATGATGCTTAAATTATTGAAATGAGAGGAGTAGTTGAATCTGAATCTTGAGAAGTGAAAAATGTCACATAAATTAGGTATAGAGACGACATACGAGTGTGTAAGCAGACCTCATGTCTTCACCACCTATCTCCACACGAGGCTTAGAAGCAATGACAAGAGGCATGAGTTCATGACCATTAAACACTTGTTTGCTTCCATTATATATCACATTCATTTTCACACTTGGGTTGAAACTATCTACAACTTCTCCTATCACTCTTGCAACAACAAGAGGTTCAATATCTCTACAAGACATATTAATCCTTCTTTTTTTGGTAACTTAACTAAATATTGTGTGCTTTTTAGTATAAGCTATGCAATAGAGAGAGATATGGTAGTTGGTTTGAAGAATGTCACTTGCAAGGAGGACTTATATACACGACACTTGAGTGAGGGGAGGTAGCTTTTGATATTGTGTGTTCATCTGAACTCAGTATTTTTCATGTTGACTATATAAATATATTTGTAGAAATCTAATAAGATTGCAATAAATAGTTCTTCATGCATTCCATTTTATATGATATTCTTTTCTTCTTATAAGTTGGTTCAAAGATTATGATATTTTTCTAGGCATAATACATATATATATATATATATACCTTTTAACTTGATATCAATTGACATCAATGTCCTCCAATTTTGAATGTGCACAAGTAGACAATTAAATTTGTATAAAGTTGAACAAGTAGACACACACATCTTACGTGACATAATACATATAGGACGCCATATATATAAGATGCTCCGTAGAAAAAAATAAAATTAAGTAGAACATATATATCTACTTGTTAAACTCTATATATAAAACCTACTTTTTATATTTAATAACATTTTAACTTTATTTTTCACAAATAAATATCTTTAAAATTTTGAATCCACCGCTCTGCGAGAGAAAGGAAGGGTGGGGGATGTTAAGTTTAAAGATTCGGTGGGGAACAATTAAAAGTGTCACAAATTGAAAGGTTGGCTATAAATGGAAAAATTCGAATGTTTTTACTTTTTAATAACAAATAAATTTACCAATATTGGCTATTCACGACGGAAATAGAAACCACTAGAGACGGTAGAGAGTTAATACAAATATATATAACATTTAATTATTGGTATGCGTTGTGTTTGAATTTGAAGACAAAGTAATTAAGATTATTTATTTCCTCATCATATGAATATGTATAATATGTTTACATTAATTTAAAAAATGAAGAATATCTAACTTTAAAAATCATGCAAAAATAAATAAATAAATTAGCAGAATCTTGGTGTCATCAAATTGCTACTTTGTTGGATGAAGCACACGGAAAAAAACTAGTGATAGTGACAATTGAGGTCATCGGTGGAGTCAGATTTTTATTAAGGAATTTAAAATAAAATAAAATAAATATATCAACAAAAAAAATAAAATAAAAATTAATATCTATAATGTATATATAAAATATAATTTTGTTATATATATATAATCTAACTTTTCGGTGAAGAGAATTTGAATGAACCCTTGTAGTATCTTGGTTCCACCCCTAGTCAAGGCATGCAGTCGCCGTCGGCTGTGAGATTGAGAATTGCAGAGTTTTACGGTGGTAAATTCATTAGGGTGATCATGCAACTAAAAAAATATGTTTAAATAAATATGTGATGTGTATTTACTATACATAAATATAATTTAAAAGATTTTTGATATGTAGCTATAATTAAGATTTTATAGCAAATTTATCTCTTATCTCTCCCTCCCTCACCTCTATCTATGTTTTCGCTCGCCTCTCTTCTCTCTTTGCCTCCTCTCTCTTCAATACAAATACAAATGGTAACAGTTAATGATATAAAATAATAGTCAATGATACAAATATAAATGATAATACACACATCGTAGCACATAAGTACAATATTCAAGGCAACATACAACCGTAATTTGTTAGGAATTACAATAACGATACAAATTGTATTTGTTAATATACTTGATACAATTGATTTGCATCAACGAATTGAATGTAATAGTCTTTGATACAATCAATTGTATTCGTGTTACAATTATCAAGATATACAATTATCAATCAGATATACAAATCAATTGTATCTCTCTCCGAAATCTCGCTCGTATCTCTCCATCCTCTCTCAATCTCGCTTGCCTCTCTTCTCTTTATAGTAGTAGTTTTTGATATAAAACAATTAAATAAATTATATTTGTGATACAATTATCTATCAGATATACAAAACAACTATAGCACTCTCTATCTCGCTCGTCTTTCTCCCCCCTCTCCCAATCTCGCTCACCCCTCTCCTCCTTCTAACATGTAGCTACGACTCGTAATTAAGAAAATTATAGCTAAGAAGTCTAATTATGTTTCTTGATTATGTGTCTAGTCTTGGCTGTTTTTGAAATTTCCTCGTCTTTTTCTGTTTTTATCGAACTTATTGCTTTGACATATTCAATTTGGATTTTTCGAAGCCCAAATTTTTTCATACTCATATTGTATTTTCTCCGTTCTTTTTTATTTGTCACATTTTTTTTTTTAGAGTTAAACTACTTGAATTTTCACCAGTATTTTAAGAAGTATTTTTTCATTAAATCAATATGAAGATGATTGCAATTTATAGTATTTTTCATATTATAATTTTTGTATATCTAAATTTTAAATATCAAATTATGCTAATTCAATTTTAACTCCAAAATTTAAACAAATTAATTCTCATAAAGTGAATTGTGATAAGTTAAAAAGGGACGTAGGGTGTATTATTTAGGAAAAATTATAGAAATCCTGCCTTTTAGTTTACTTATTACCATTATCCTCTATAAGTTTTACAAATCTCCAAAATCCCTCATTTTCGTGCATCAGATTAGTGTATCATGTATAAAATGTAATGTATCTTACTTAACGATTAATGTATCTCGCGCATCAGATTAGTGTATCAGCGCTTATATTATTGTATCCGTTTGAGGGATTTCTGTAATTATAAACTTTTAAGGGATAAATTATAATTTTACCTTAAAAGTATGTGATTTCTGTAAATTGCCCATTATTTATTACCTTAAAAACTCAATGCATGCATAGTACTTCTGATGCCTTTAGTCCATTGACTTATTAGAGTGTGGAATACTACTTTTTGAATTTGAAAACAA